CCTCCACTGGTTTCAAGAGGGGAGAAAAAGGGAGGGGTGAGATGGGGGAGAGATGGCTTTGATGGATGAAGAGAGTAAATGGAAGGGATAAATAAAACAGATGGGGAAAAGGACACAGATGGTGATAATGTAGAAAGTCAAGAGAGAGAGACAAGAGAGTCTTCAAAAAATAAGAAAAATCCCGAAACAGAAAATGAATGCTGGGGGGAGACGGGTGTGAACGTGCGTGTGCTTGTGTTCATTTTATATCCATCATCTACACTAAAAGCTTTTGTGAACCATCTCAATTCTCAATGCTCTGCATTGTCATCTACTCTGCCTTCCAAATGTACTTAGAAAAACAGAAATCCCTTTTATTTACAGACTGCCAGGTAGAATTTGGGCCCTTGTTTACTGTAACTGTGACTTATGATTGGGTATTCAGCTAGCTTTCCACCCTATTGACTAGATCCATTAATCCATGTCCATCATATTTTACCTGGTAGTTGGAGTTAAGCTATTCCAAAAATGTTGAGTTTAGTTTATATTTTGCACAAAATTGAAGAACTAAACCCCCCCCGCTTGCATCCTGTCATTTCCCGAACCATCCTTACTTCTTTCCCCCTTGCACCCTCAAAACCCTTTTGTTGTCACCCCCCCTTCTCCCCTCCCTCACCCCTCCCATTCCTCCCCCTCACACCCTCTTGTCAATGAAAAAGGGTTTCACTAAAATAAAATCTAAGCAAAAGCCACTGGTGCATACGCTATCGGGGCTGCACTGTGCGCGACGAATGTGGAAATGTGGCTTTTGAAGAAAACGACTTGCGTGTTAAAAAGACAAGGATGGGTGAAGGGTGGGGGGAAAGCAGAAGAGCGACGGAAAGTATGACGCGTGCCCTGCCAACAAAGCGCCAGTGTCTGTCTGCTTCCGGGAGCTGTGGGGGGCACGGCAGCAGCGTAGGAAGCGGGGAGGGAGACGCGACCTGTCAGGGAGTGAGGGTGGCTGGCTGAATGACTCCACATCAAACCCCTTTTAGCCCAGCAACTTCCCATTTATATTGTAATGCAATCCAAAAGCGTATCCGATGGTGCTTTTCCAGCATTGTGGTGCATAAAATATGATTATTTATCCCCAGCGCACCCCAGAGTCCTTACCTCCACCCTCCCTCTCTCTCTAACTCCCCCCTATACTCCTCTCCCCTCACACTTGCAGAACAACCTGTGCTCTGTACTGTCTCTCATTAATTTATACAGCTTCAGGGAGACAGTGAGGGAAAAGGTGGATGGAGAGAATGGAGGTAGAAATAGGAAGAGAGGGTGATTTTGAAAAATTAGCAAAGATAGACAGACAGAGAGAGGTTTAACGAGCAGCAGAGAGTGTGATAGAGAGGGGAGGGAGTAGTAGAAGACCAGTTACTCCTCTCCTCTTCTCCTCTGGCGAGGAGCGGGGGAGCAATAACTCTAAACCCACTCAAATGCTCTTTTAATCATCTCCAGTGAGAAAATGCAGCTTCCTCCCCAGCGCACATCGCTGTTAAATGTCACCTCTCTGGCCCCAACCACGGTGGGAATCCTGGTGGAATAATTCACCCCTTTTTCTCTGTGTGTGAGATATGGGTCACCACTGTATTTGCCTGTTGGAAAAACTCACAGCTCGTTGGTGTTACATCAAAAATCAGTGTGTCACAAAATGGCCATGAGAGTGCTTTGTTGGTTTTGTATGGCTGTTGCATGCAAAAAAAAACGTTGGGAATCTGTCTTAAAATAAAATAGAATGCAAACTCATTAGACTTTGAGGGCTTGGTCAAAACATTGAAATATCTGAGGCATAACCTGAGTGAAAGTCTGAGACAAGTTACTTGCCCGAGTGTAGTGAATATACTTCTGTAAATACAATCCCTTCTCATTTCCGTCGTTCTAAGCCCCTAACTAACTAATGGAATAGCGTTATGGTGTCATACGTGATTGGAACTTGCCCCCTGTTGAAGTGAGGGCATACAGCACAGTGAGCAGTGTTTTGCTGTGAGAGTGCAGCATCATAGGGGATTGAGTTCTCTGTAATCAGCTCTGTAGCTCAGCCTGTTGTTTGTCATACCTGTGCTTTTATCACACAATCCTCCCCTGTCTGGGCCCGCCTCTGAGCTTTATCTAAAGAAGACTTTAGTGCTGTCATAGCTGAGTATCAAATCCCATTCTGGTGTCAGAGCACTCATCCAACCCCATCACCTCCTTTAATTAGGAGTTTTTGACAAGGTGCCTCTCACTTGAACCCACTTACTTAAGCACAACGTTTGAGTGATGCAGCAGCAATTTGAAAAAAGAGGGGAATTATGGAATATGATGAGCAGTACAAAAAGGATGTGTCCCGACAGTAGGGTGTGTGATGGGTGAGAACTAATCCTTAAAGGGGAACAGATGTTTTCTTTAACTCGTTTGGCATATAACAGTTTATTCGCCTGTTCAGCCCAACACGGAGACGACTTCTTCATGAAGAGTATTCACATACACAGATCTTGTTTGTTCATGAGGAATATGATGATACTGTTATATATTTCAGCCAGAGAGGGCAGTCCCAGTCTAATTAATCATTACCCAGTGCCTAAAACCCTCTGGAGCGGGCGCTCCTACCCCACCCTGATTGAAACACTGCTAATTAGTAACCAGTACAGTCTCATGGCTGTTCTCGCCTCTATCTACTCCTCGGTTTTTCTGTCATTTAGTGTTTCCAAACTCTATAGTCTTCCACAGTTTGTGTTATTTGTAACGTTAAGCTAAAATGACTGACAATCTAAGACATGACTTCCCCCCTTGAATATTTGCAGTGTTTGCCAAAATAGACAAAGAGAGAGAGGAACAGATGGACACAGAAATGCCAACAGGGTCAAACAAAAGAAAGAGAAATTCCACCCTTAAACCCAAAATTAAATAATATTCCCTCGTTATAATCCCTTTTAAACCCACGGTTTCTAATTCATTCGGGGCTTACATCTAAATTGCATCTTTGTTTGTCGTACTCTATACCCTCCCCTGTCCAAAAATAGAACAATTGAGGAAATTAATTTCGAGCAATGTAAAGATTAAGGAATCTATTTCGGAAATTCCCCTTACTCAGTCAAGCAGTCAAACCGCGGGAGGGAAAAGCTGGCTGCTCTCTGCCATGCCTCTGAAATAAAGAGTGACAGATGCCCCCCTCGGAGGGATTCTCTCTTTGTTCTTTTGCTGTTTTGGGGCAATTACCCTCTCAAGTGTTGGGGGAAAATAAAAATTGGAGTTGACAGGGAATCAAAGATCACAAGGTTTTCCCTGAACTTCTGTCCTCCTGATGTTTGCCTCCCTGACCCCTTTCTCTCTGTTACGGCGACCAGCTAACTGAGTTGTGGATTTCTGGGTCACGACCTCGGATGAACTGCATTATTGAACACTCAAAATGGGATCAATTGAATTGCAAAGGGGGTGCTGAACTTTTTTTTTTTCCCCACAAAAATGGAAGAGAAGGTGCTGACACCACAACAACGCAAAACCTGAGCTTTTTTCTGTTGAATATTATTTCTTCAAACAGTCAAGCCCCTTTAGCTCGTCCCCCGACCAATTGTAGGGGGGAACTAAAACAAATTTTAAACGGCTTGAAGAATCACCCCCTTTGCAAATGATCACGTCTTTCTGATGAGACTTTTTTTAACTTCCCAATCTAATTGTTTTTTTCCGGATCATAAAAGAGAACATTCCTTGTGATAACTGTTTTTTTTGTTCTGTCCCCAATGTTTTTATCTTTTGGTGATATTGTTTTTTTCCTATATAGCTTGGGGTCATAGTATCTCCACTCTTACCCCCAATTCCCACACAAAGAGGAGCTAGCAAGCTAGCAGTTGCCTTCCCTGGTTAGTCCATGTAGCCCCTGTAGCTCACCATTGTGCTCAAAAAAAAACCTTCAAAATTCCCCCCAACCAAAAAAAAAAGAGACAAGGGATGGGATTTCGTTGTTGGTGGTCTTTGCCCAACCCAAAGCAAACGAGGAGGGGGGGGATTAACGGTGAACGGGGAATTAACAGAAAAGCAAAGAAAAAGAAGGGTTTTAAAAGACAAGGAAAATGGAGAGAGAAAGTGAGGGTGAAAAAGTGAAAGAAAGGGAAGAGGCAGTAGGTCTGGACCTGGTCATTTTAAAAATGTACCCTAGCCTTGTTGGTATGACCCCCTTTAAATCTGAAAAGCACCATTAAATAAACACAGATGGGGGGTTTTACTACATTGAAGCAGATCTTTGGGGGTTTTCTAAGTAGGGAGGTTCGTTAGTTTACTTCCCCTCAGGCTTCCCCGTCCAAAAATGGTGGATATTTCTCCTCCCTCCCCTAACTCTAGCGGTTTTTAAAAGCATAGAATGTCGCACGTGGTTGTCGAAAAGCCGAAACCCTTTATTGAACCATCTGAAACATCAATCAATGGGCAGTGCCCAATTCATTTGTGCTAAAATCTTGCAATTCCCGCGCTATGATGTGAAATAGGCTTGTTGAAATGCAGTCTTTAGGGGTTACTTTGGTGTGGTTATAATGCACAAGTGCTTTTTTCCCAACTCCTAGCGATAAAATTTATTTAAACATAAAAAGTTTTTTAGTTTTAGTTTAATTTTTTAAACAAAAACACATTAGATTAATAAAATATTAAACATTGTTTTCCCAAAAAAAGTGGAGATCTTTTTAGAGTGAGGAATCTAAATTTAAATTGGGCTTCAAATCACGGGTCAACACTTTATTCAGGATAAATTTTAGTTTGCCCTGGTTTAGCCTCCTGGAGCGGTTAGATCTAAGGTCTTGCCAAAAAATTTATGGGCCCCGTTTTTTTTTTTCCCCTCCAAAAAAAAAAAAAAGGGGGGGGGGATTTTCTTTTTAAAGAAAAAAA